ACACACACACACACACACACACACACACACACACACACACACACACACGCACGCACACAAAACTATCTTTAAAGAATTTTTACAATTTGGGCTGGAGAGATGGCTCAGAGGTTAAGAGCACTGACTGCTCTTCCAGAAGTCCTGAGTTCAATTCCCAGAAACCACATGGTGGCTCACAACCATCAATAATGGGATCTGGTGCCCTCTTATGGTGTATAAGCATACATGCAAGCAGAATACTACATAAGTAATAAATAAATAAAATCTTTAAAAAAGGGATTTTTACAATTTATGTATGCATGTCTGTGTGCATGTGTGTAGGTAGAGGACAATTTGCAGGGGCTAGTTCTCTCCTATGATATGAGGCCCAAGGATTGAACTCAGGTTGTCAGGCTTTGCAGCCAGTGCCTTTATCCACAAAGCCACATCGCTGGCCCCTAGAAACAAACTATCAATTATCCTAGTTTTTAAACAGGCCTTAACATCTGGTAGAATTAAATATTCATCTTGACTTTCAGAACTGTACTAAGCTTTATACTTGATTATTCTTATATGATTCTAAATGAACTTTGGTATCATCTTGCCATTTTAAAGTAAGTAAAGAAAGTCAGGCTTGGCTAGTGTGTACCTGTAATCCCAGTACTTGGGAGATGGAACAAGAGGATCACGAATTCAAGGCCAGTTTGTGGTTAAGGAAACTGTCTCAAAATAAAATTAATTAACAAAGAGAGAGAGAGAGAGAGAGGGGAAGGGAGGGAGAGAAGGAAGGGAGGAAGGAAGGGAGGAAGGAAGGAAGGAAGAAAGAAAGAAAGGAAGGAAGAAAGAAAGGAAGAAAGGGAGGAAGGAAGAGAGGGCTGAGAGATGGCTCAGTGGTTAAGAGCACTGCTCTTCCACAGGTCCTGAGTTCAATTCCCAGCAACCATCTGTAATGAGATCTGGTGCCCTCTTCTGGCCTGCAGTTTACATGCAGGCAGAACACCGTATACATGATAAATAAATAAATCTTTAAAAAAAGAAAGAAAGAAAGAAAGAAGGAAGGAAAGAGGAAAAAAAAAAGAAAATACAGAGCTTGGTATGGGCGCACACTTGTAACGTCAGTATTTGGAGGCTGAGGCAAGAGGATGAAAGTCAGAGACAATTCTGGACTACAAAGCCAGAGCCTTGTGCATGCTAATCACAAACTCTACCACTGAATTATAATTCTATTCCTTTTTGTTGTTGTTGTTGTTTTCCCTCAAGACAGGGTCTCACTATGTAGCCCTGGCTAGCCCAGAATTCACTACACAGACCAGGATGCCTTCCAACTTGTGGCAATCTACCTGCCTCTGCCTCCCAGGTGCTGAGATTTTAGCTATGTGCCACCATACTCAGATTCCTTTTTGTGAACCAGCAAGATGGCTTAGCAGGTAAGGGCATTGCTGCCAATCCTGATAATCTGAGTTCAATCCCAAGATCTCACATGATTGAAAACTAGAACTAACTCCTATGAATTGTCCTGACTTCCACACATGTACCATGACTCATGCACCGTGACACATGCACACGTGCAAACACATACACACACACACACACACACACACACACACACACACAAATAAATATAAAAAAGGAAAGTTTCAAAAAGATTCCTATTTTTCTTTGTGTGTGTGTTCACATGCTTGTGTGTATGTGTGTGCATGTGTGTGTTTCCTCTACACATGTATGCAGAGGCCAGAAATGAATATGGGTATCTTCTTCTACTGCTCTCCATCTGCTTTTTGAGACAGGATCTCTCAATGAATGCACAGCTTGCTGTCTTGGCTGGGATAGCTGGCCAGCAGTTCTCTGGATCAGCTGTGTCCATCTCCCACAATGTTGGTGTTACAGGTACCTGTGGTCCTGGTGTGTATGGGTTCTAGGGATGTGAATTCAGATCCTCTTGTTTTCATAGCAAGCACTCTGATCAACCAGCCATCTCTCTAGGCTCCTATTACCCCTGCCACTTCCACCACCACCTTTAGACATAGTCTCACTCTGCAGTCCTAGCTGACCTGGAACTCATTATGTAAACCAGGTTGCCCTTGAACTCATTGAAACTGTCCTGTCTCTGACTCCCAAGTGCTAGGATTTAAAGGTGTGTACTAATTTTTAAAGAGTTCCTAAATGGGCTGGAGAGATGGCTCAGCAGTTAAGAGCCCTGGCTGCTGTTTCAGAGGACCTGGATTCAATTCCCAGCACCCACATGGCAGCTGCCATGTGGTGCCTTTGACTCCAGTTCCAGAGGATCTGGTACCCCTCACAGACATACATGCAGGTAAAATACAAATGCACATGAGATTAAATAAATAAATTTAAATTGTAATAGTGGATTACTTTTCTCAGTAATAAAAATGTTAGCCTTCCAATTTGCATTTCTGTATTTTAATACCACCTAATAAATCTTTAAACATTTATGTTTGTCTTGTTTTACTTTTCTCAATATTCTCAATAGAGTTAACTATTCCTCTTCCATGTTACCTCAGTGACATATTACACCTCACATATTACCTGTAGAATGTCTCTATGTCGCTGCAACGTGTGCATCAGTGCTGCATTCAATGAGGGGACCCCTGCACTGTTGGTATACTCTGCCATTTTATCATTTACCCCTGTAAGCTAAGAAGAAAAGGAGAAAGTATTTTAAAAAGCACTAAAAACAATTCAAGTAAATTGTCTGCCTATATGTCCTCTTGGCTGACAGCAAACAAGGCAAGACTCAGTCAATCAGCATTTCCCACAAATAACATCTGTTACAATTTGGATGGCTGCCATTAAAATTCAAGTGGTTGGAGGAGGAATACACCTTGAATGAATGGATGGTTTCAATAAATAATATAATGCAGAACCACATCTAACAAATAGCAAACTAGCTGTTAACCCAAAAGCACTTACCCTTGCCAAAAGCTGTTCAATTTCAATTGCCATTGTCTCAAACATTCTGTCTTGACTTGATCCATTTAATAGGGGTGTTGTGTCAGAACTAAAGAGAAGTTTAATTTAAAAAATTCATTACTCAGTGCTTTAAAACAGCCTTAAAATAATAAGGCAATTTTTCTTAAAGTGGTCAAATGAACCCCAAAACATTCTTTCTATTTCTTGAAAGATTATGCTTTTATGGCCAGCAACATGACTCAGTGAAAAAAGATGGCTGCAGTCAAGCTTGATGCCCTCTGTTCAATTCCAGGGTCCACATGGTACAAGGAGAGAACTGATTCCTGTAAGTTGTTCCTTGACAGTGCATACCATAGCCCCTCTACATAAATAAATGTAATTAAAAAAAATTTAACTATGATTTCATTTTTCTTTTGAAAAAGTTCCACATGTCCTAAAATACTAAATACAATACAAAATATAAATGAATAAAGACATTCCGAATGCTGTGTACTATTCCCCAAATGACAAGAGAATAGTCCAAGCAACTTAAACCCTGAATCTGACAGAACAAATAATGGGAAAGAAGCCAAAAACTCTTTATAATAGTGGAGAAAAAATGGATTGTAGATTCCATTATGGGACTTTCGAGAAATAATCTTTAGCTTTTCTCCAAAATTATGTTTTTTTATGCCTTAAATTCTCGCTTCTTCTAATGACTCTTACTAAGAAATAAAACTGAGATTTAAATGACCTGATTAGATAACCAGTTATTAAGGAGTCAGGAGCTAGTATTTAGGCCAATAGAAAACAGCCAGCACACGTTCATGCCAGTTTTCCAGATTTCCATTATAATATGCATTTGCCTTATACTATTTTACAAGAAGGTCGTTAACATCTTTTAAAATCTGACTTGTTTTTGTTTTTTATAGATGAAAGATGTTTGACAGACTCAAATTTTAAAATCACATATCCTGAGAGTTTCATCTATCTCTTCTGAAAAGCCAATACCTTTTATGAGTAGCTTAATACAGGCAAGTTATTTTTCACACAAATAAAATGGATTACCTCTCCAACCTGAGTGAAGACCTTTTCCTGCCATTTTACAGCATTTGAATGTGGCAACTCAAGGATTCAATCATCAATTCAATGTCAAAAAGAACCTTAGCCATTACTGTTCCCCTATTTACTTTCACAACAAAACCAGTAAAACATTAAAAAGTAGCTAATAAGAGTTTTTTTTTTTTTAAAAAAGATTACTTATTTTACTTTATTTATGGGTATGTTTTTTGCCTATGTGAGTTTATGTGCATCATGTGCATGCAGGAGCCACAAGAGACCAGAAGAGGGCATCAGATTCCCTGGACATGGAGTTACAGGCAGTAGTGAGCATGGTCATATAGTTGCTCAGAGTCAAACCTGGGTCCTCTGCAAGAGCCATACAAGCTTATAGCTGCTGGGACATCTCTCCAGCCCCAGATTTTTCCCCCTTAAAGACAGAGGACTGCTTTGTATATATAGGCCAAGCTAGCCTGGAACTTGTGATCTTTCTGCTTCACTCTCTTAAGTGCTGGCATTATAGGCATGTACCAACCTGGCTTTAATAAGGATTCTTGTTTTAGATGTTTAACTAGGTTTTAAGCTTTATTTCTTCTTCAAACATTCCCACTTATATATCTTGCAGCAGAACATAAAAATATCTAGTTCTGAGCCAGGCATGGTGGTACACACCTTTAATTCCATCACTTGGGAGGCTGAGACAGGAAAAGTAACAGAGTTGAGTCCAGCTTGGGCTACACAGTGATAAATGAGGGTGGTATGAGGTTGGGATCAGCTCTTTACTGTGTCACAGCTAAGCCAAGGTTGTGAAGGTATCTCCTAGAATGTGCAACCACAAAACGGCAGTTTTTCACTGATATAAACTCTTCCCTACCAGATACATTTAAAAGAACAGTGGGCCAATAGAAGTCAAGGAAGGAAACTGCCTCTGTCTTTCCTAGTTATATTCCTAGCACCTGGCAAATGGTGACTATTTACTGTTCTTTAAATATTTGTTGAATGAATGAGTAACAGGGCTAGTTCTACTACTGGATATTCCATATTCACTATTCTTAGGACAATATAGAAGTCCAGGCAAATGGTCAACAACTCATTCTCTATAATATTTGGACTCAGTTAAATTTAATTCATTTGACAATGTGTGATGATCCACAGACCTTCTGATTCTCAACACACAGGAAAAACAAAACAAAACACCCCAAGATTCCTAGAAGAAACGTTCTAGTGATTGCTGATTTTATTCATGTTACATGCTTCCAATCTGGGTATTGAACAGAAGACAAAGCATTCGTAGTTGGTCTTTATTTTTCCATGTTGGGGATTACAGGCAGGGCCTCACACCCACCAGCTAAGCGCTCTGCCAGAGGCCAGCCTCAGCCTGTGTCCTCACAAGCTTAGGCTCTCTGGTGAAAGCAGAATCAGTCCTAGCTTGTAGCTGAACTCAGAATGTTTTCAAGACATTGTTTCTTTTAAAGGGATTCTGAGCAGAGGACACAGAAAAAGCATCTTGCAATGGTATTCCCTGACAGACTGAAGTCTTAAAATTGTATACTCATTGGCAAATGTGAGCCTTAAATCTGGGGCAAAAGCTAGAAAGAAGAACAGAAAATTTACTCACTGAAAAAAAAAAAATCATCACTCTCCTTACTTGGTGAAAGTGTGCAAAGCAACACCTTGCACTGGAGTCCATGGGACATGCTACTAACACTTTTAGGACCCAAAGTCAACACATTGGCCTTGCTAACTTTGCAAGCCATGTATATGTCCTTATGAAAAAAGGAACACTTTGGCAGAATAGTGAAAGGAGCTTGTGCTGGAATGTTTAATACAGTAGCTTTTAGAATGTGGGTTCTGGAGAGAGAGAAGGTGTTAAGTTCAAATTCAAGCTCAGTTTTGTTGTTTTCATTATTAGCTAAAAAAAAAAAAAAGTCCGTTCTCCACTAATCTTTGAAAAAATACAGAAATAAGAGTTGATTAAAAACTGACAACTCTGTATACATTGTATAATCTGGGTGGAAATATTCACAGAAGCATATATACAAAGCTCTAAGAACAGAACCTGCAATATGGTAATTATTCTATGTCAGCTATTAAAATTATTATTAATTAGCAAAAATTAGAAATGCCCATCAAATAGCTAAATCTTATGCAGTTGTTTAATATATGTAGCAAATGAAGACAGTAGAGTTAAATGCATCCACAACTGAACCTCAGAGATAATGTTAAACAACAAAAAAAGAAAAACCCCAACTTCAAAATAGCTTTTGTAAGATACTATGAATTGCTTAGGAGTACTAAGATATGTAACAAAAATAGTGATATTTATATGTAAATAGAAAAGATAACGTGGTATGCTATTAGAGGCTTCACTTGAATCTGCAATGATTATTTCTTAAAAAGAGACACAAGCAAAAAAGGGGTCATTATGTTATTCCTTATATATTTCTAAAAATCTCAAACATTTCCGATTTTTTTTTTTTAACAAGTGGATAACCAAAAGTAATCACAACACTTAAAAACATGAATAAATTTTTCTTGGGTTGTAATATGCTAGTTCCTATAAACAAATAAATAAATCAAACATTAAAAATACCTTTCATGATTAACTGTGAGAGTCCTGCATTAGGTTCATTCTAAAAGAATAAACACCAGGAAAACAGTTTGTATGTTTTGCATTTAGGTAGCTCCTCAGTTCCATTCAGAAATTAGAAAACAAAAATCAGCAGGTGGTGGCAAATGCCTTTAATCTCAGCACTAGAGAGGCAGAGGCAGGCAGATCTGTGAGTTTGAGGTCAGCCTGGTCTACAGAGAGAGAGCTCCAGGACAGCCAGAGCTATACACAGAAACCCTGTCTTGAAAAACAAAAACAAAATGAAACAAAACTCATTGTGAGCAGATCAGACATTTCTGTGGACTGAGACCGAAACTTCTTTGGATTTGCCAAGGAGCCCAGAATGAGTTTGCAATCACATGTTTCCTGTCTCAGTTTCCAAGTGCTGGGTTAACAGATTTACAGACCTGTGTCAAAAACATTATTGATATAAGTTCATTTTTAAACTCTAGAAGTTTCTTCCTGAGCTATCACAATATTTGTCTAAAGATCTCAAATAAATGTTAGTCTCAAGAATTAGAAAGAATTTCAGTAAGACACCCCCACACACACATAAAGACAATGACAAAGAAATTGTATTAATAATTCACCAGTAGACTAAGTCATAGAGTTCTATATCTCAGTTTACTTTTAAAAACATCGCATAGTTAAGGTATAAGAGAAGCCGGTAGTACCTATACCTATCGCGTCCTCCATCTCGGGCGCTGCTGTGACTGTAACTTGTGCACAGTTTACTGAAGGAAACTAGTTTCAGGTCAAGTTCATTTTCCAGCTGTCGAGCTTGTTTCCTGAGATCTTTAAGGAAATTACAAAGGCAAATCATTTTCCACCAAGAGACATTAAAATCACAAAACTATTTTGAAGAAAGCCTACTATCACATATTGCTCTCTGATCTAGTTGCCCAGAAACCAAAGACTTACTACCCAAGAAAGTAAATTAAACTTCAGATGGGAGCACTATGGGAAGCAGCAGTGAGAGACACACAATCTGTCACTGTTCTTTCAAAGACAGCTTGACAACCAACCTAACATTCTTGATACTACTTTTACAGCAATAACCCAAAGTTGTAACTTGAAGGAAAACAAGAATAGAAATCTTGATATAAATATAAAAACGTGAAAATGGTTTGTGACCACCACATCAATTTACCAGCTAACTTTACAAGAAGTTTACATTCTTTTGAAAGAAATTTCTTTTCATGTTTCAAAGCTTTGTTAGGGTTTTGGGATTCTTTTCATACAGGTAAAATACCTTAACAATTAAACACAAAGAAAAAGCCAATCAACAAAAATTAAAGATGGCTTCTTCAAAAACATTGGTGTGGGGGGGAAACAGAGGTTAAAAACAAACAACGCACCATGAACAAGGCAAAATACAAATGTAACAGGTTTTTTAAAGCATGTTTTGCCTGGTGGTGGTGGCCCACACCTTTAATCCTAGCACTCAAGAGGCAGAGGCAGGAGGATCTCTGTGAGTTCGAGGCCAGCCTGGTCTACAGAGAAAGGTCCAGGACAGGCTCCAAAGCTACACAGCGAAACCCTGTGTCCAAAAAAAAAAAAAAAAAAAAAAAAAAAAAAAAAAGAAGCAAACAGATAAACAGGTGCAACAGCTTGGCTTCTAAAGGGCTGAATGAAAGACGCCACACCTGGAAACTCATATACATATGAGTATTCTTATTCATGGTAGAGTTCAAATGAAAGGACTAAAATATAGGAAGGAATGATGTAAGAATGTCTCAGGACAGAAGAATATGAATGCAATCAAAGGAGGGAAACAGAATTGTATTAACATAGAGACCAAATCCCACTTCGTATGTCAGCTCAGCCTCCTTCTGTCTTTAAGATTTACTGATGATTCAGTTCATTTAAAAGCTTCAGTCTTCAATTTTTAAACCTCTACTATCAGTGTTTTTCTATGCATGCTTAAAGCATCTGGCACAAGGTATACTGCCAATCATGGCTTGCTATAATTATTGCATCATAGGGTTTCATAGCCTAATGACTATCAAAGACACCAGTAGCCACATCTGTGTAATTTAAAAATAAATTTTAGCTACTACAAATATTTCCAGTGGGCATTTTAAATACATGTTTTAAGGTCTAGGCAGGTTTCCCTGTAAGACTAGTTATTTTTTTGTCTAATGGGAAACATCAAGTAGAATGCACGTTGAAAATATGACACATTGGGACTTAAAATTCAGACTCTTATGTCAAGTGGTTGATGACGACAATACCCTATGTGGCGATGTATTATTTACGATTTATTAAAGCCACTGGAGATCAAAATAGCAAAGCAGCCAAGCCAGTAGATCTTACTTTTGCTCAGCTGAAAAGGCAATCCTGTCTCCACAACACTTCAGAGGCAAAAGACTCTTAATGCCTGTCTTGTCTTCCTGATACTCTTTTCTCTACCCAGCCATATCCTCCTGTCACCACCTCCCTAGTGCTGGGATTAAAGGCATGTGATCCCAGGTGCTGAGATCACCTTTGTGTGAGCTGTTTCTTTTAGGACAGGATCAATTTCGTGTAATTAGTTGTGGCCTTGAACTAACAGCGATCAGCCTACCTGGACCTCACAAGTGGGGGATTAAAGGTATGTACCACCACTGTCTGGCTTCTATAGCTAACTAGTATGGCTGTTTTGCTATTTTGATCTCCAGTGGCTTTAAAAAATCATAAACAATATATCACCACATCATACTTTCCAGGAGCTTCATGGGTCAGAAAGAGGGAATAGGTTAAAAAAAGAAAGAAAAGGTAAAGAAGCAAATAATTCAATGAAAATGTGAGCCATTTCTGATCTTTGTGGCTCACTGTAGTCTAGGAATGTTTTACATGACCCTCGCTTGATTGGACCAGATTTTCAGGAATTAAACACACTTGAATGTTCTCTTGGTGGGAGAAGGATAACAAATGTAGCAATTAGAACCCTTTATCATTTTAACAAAACGATCTTGGACTCCAGAACAGAAGGTAAAGTTATTTTCAATATTCTGTTACCCAATCCTCGACGAAGTCTCAATCTTAATTGCCAATAGTGGTCCAGGAGGAGACAGTCCACGGCCAATGTCTGGGAGCCCCCCAAGGCCGGGACTGACAAGTTCCTCTCACTCTTACTTTCCTGACAGTGACCGTAACTCCAAGGCTCTGACTACTGTCTTCCGGGCTCTGGATCTTCTGGCTCGACACTCGTCTCCTCCCAAGAGTTCGTCTCCAAAGCCCCATCCTCAGTCTCACTACTCCTCAGACGCGTCCACCTGGAGCCTCAGGCGCCTCTTCCCTCCATCCCGGCTCCCTCCACTCCACCCAACCCCTTCCCAGATCCGGTTCACTCCGCCCCAGCCTCTTCCTCAAGTTCCCAGGCCCGGGGCGCCTCTCGGACAACCTCACAGCGCAGTGTGGCCCTTCCTGAGGTCTGCCTCTTCCCTCTGCTGCCTTCCTCAAGACCCAGCCTCACGCAGTGGCCCCTGCACCTCGCAGAACCCTCCCGGAGGCCTCGCCCTCACCTTCCCAGTAATTGCTGGTCCCCGCCGCCATCTTTGTTGCCCAACGTCATTCGGGACAGGAGAGTAGAGGCGATGTGGGCCAGAGAGTCACCTCCACGCCTTCTTCCACCCAGAGCGCCAGGGCTGACGGGATACGCGAGTCTCCGTAGATACCTCCACCTGGTGGACAAGTCGTTATTTTACAGCTGTGAGTGGCACGTTTGAAAACTTGGGTTTAGCTTGTGAGGCTGTCTGAATCTCTCTGTCCTGGGTGTTCATACCATCTTCCTCGCCCTCAATGGTCTACGCTTGCTCCTCCTGTCAGCAGGTGACTGAAAGGAGAGGAGAGACACTCGCGGTTTCCCTCATGCCCACTGACATAGATGTTTTGGGACTGGTGTATAGTGGGTAAGGTGCCTGCCTGTATGTAAGAGACTCTGGGTTTGATCCCCAGCATTCCATAAACAGAACATGGTTACATAGGCCTTCGATCCTAATACTCACAAGTGGGGATAGGAGGATCAGAAATTTAAGATCACCCTCGGCTACGTAGGGAGTTCAAAATTGGGGATAAATGAAATCCCGTCTCAAGAAGAAATGTATCTCCAGTCTGCAGTTTCCTTTCTCGGAGCTAGCCGCGGCTCTTTTCCTCATCCCTCTCTCCACTGTGTCCATCTTCCACTCTCCCGCATGTGATGCTTTCTTCCTTATGTCTACAGCAGAGCCTCAGCCCTCTCTCCTTTCAGGTCAGCAACGGTGTGCCAACTGCTTCCCTTCCCTTCCCTTCTCTGATATGCGCACAACCTGCAGCTCACCGATTTGGTTTAGATTGGCTGGCCTGCAGGTCCCAGTTTTGCTCCCCAGTGTTGGGATTACAGCCATACGAAGCTATGCCTGACTTTTCATGTTTGTGTTAGGGTCTGAACTCGCATCCTCATGCTTGTATGTAAACACTTTACTGATTGAGTATAATATACATTAAATTAATAGATTACTATGTGTGGTTTAAGTTCATTGAGAAGTGGGCTGTGGACATAGGGTTACCACTCTTGCCCTCACACAGTCACACACTTCATACCCAAGCATCTCTCTAAGTGTCTCACAAGATAACCTGTCTGAGGATGGGCTGGCTGGCTGGCCCTGTGAGAAAGGAAAAGTAGAACAGCAAAAGGGCCCAAAGAGGAAAAATACCATGTCCATGAAAACATCGGAGAGAGAAGTGTTAGAGTCTAAACACTGTGTCTTTGATTGCAGCTGGAAGGCCAATCAGTCCCAGTCACTTAGCCAACATAAAGATGGCTGTGGTGAGGAAGGCTCATTGGCAGTCTCACCTAACAGAAGATATTCTTCCTGGAACCCTTTTGTGGATCAGAGGCTCCAACTGACTGTTCTTGTTCTTGGTTGTTTTCTGCTGGATGACGTAAGTGTCTGATTTCATGTACTAAATACTACCTCCTTCCTGTTGGCTGTTTCACTCTTTTATTTCTGCTTGCTGTATACCTAAAAAGCACACTCGTTTGGAAATAGCATGGCTATTGCAGAGCATTCTTCATGCAGAACACTAAGCCCTCTTCCCAGGTCCCCAACTACTCATTTTTAGTACTCTATTTCCATTGTTCTGGTTGGAGAGTATCCACTATTCTCTCTTCAAGTTGATTGACAAACAAATGGGTCTTTCTTCTGCCCCCTCCACTTTGCTGCTGAACCCATCTGGTGAGCTGATTTCAATTACCAAACTTTTCAGATCTGAAAGCTTGCACTCACTTTCTCATGTTTTCTTTGTGAAAACTGTTTCCTGATAAGACTCTTTATACAACCATGTGTTACAAGTTTGTTTATAACTGGGCATGGTGGCACACACCTTTAATCCCAGTGCTTGGGAGGCAAAGCTAGTGGTTCTCTGTGTGTTGGATTTCCAGGACAACCAGGGCTATGTAGAGAGAGTCTATCTCAACGAACAAAACAAACAAAATAAAAAAGAGTTTGTTTATAAGTGCTCACCAGATTTGTTTCATCATCGGTGCTTTTAAATCCTTGTCAGATAATTCTGACATCTAGATGTTGGAGTTTGTTGGTTGTGCTTTTTCATTAATTGAAATTTCCTGGGGTCTTCCCATATGAGTAATATATATCTATGTATGTGTCTTTGGGGGATGGATCTGTTGGTAAAGCAAACATGAGGCCATGAGTTCAAATCCCCTAGCATCCATATACCCATGTTAAAAATAAATAAGCCAGGCATAGCAGATTGAACCTATAACTCTAGTGTGGGGGTTGGGGTAGAGTGGGGAGATGGCCAGATCACAGAAATTCATTGCTCTCCCCCAGCCTAGGGGAATCTGTGAAGCTCCAGGTTCAATGGGAGACCCTGTTCCAAAAATAAGGTGGAGACTGATTGATAGAGACATCCAGCATCTGTTTATGGCCACATGGACACAAATGCATGCATGCATACACACACACACACACACACACACACACTTATCACTCACACAAAATAGAAAACTAAAAATGTATGGTGGTTTGAATATGGAATGGCCTCTCACATGGTCATGTATTTGAACTCTTGGCTTCCAGTTGGTGATGCTATTTAGGTTGTAGAACCTTTAGGAGGTGGAGTCTTGGTGGAGAAGATGGAGTCTTTCTGGAGGAGGTGGAGTCTTGCTGGAAGAGGTGGGGTCTTGCTGGAGTCTTTCCAAGCAACAACATATTTGGGGTGGGGGTGGGGGAATAATTTTCTCTAAATGAGCCAGTGTTCCTAGTTACTAGGCCTCTGAATTTGCTCTCCTATGGGAGGTGGTAAGATGCCCACAGCAGCTGACCTCAGCCAAAGATCAGCGAAACACTTCCATATTCAGACTAGAGACATGTGACATGCAAGAGTGAAACCAGGAACTAAGGATGATGGCCCTGTGGGTGAAGTGTTGTGCAAGTATAGGACCTGAGTTCAGATTTCCAGCACTCACATAAATGCCAGGCAAGTGTGGCTGTAATCCCAGCGCTAGGGAGTCAGAGATAGGAGATCCCTGAATCAAGCTGGCTAGCTAGGCTAGCCAATCATTGTGCTTTGTTCAAGTGAGAGAACCTGGAGAACAGTGAGGAAGACACTTGACAGGAACCTCTAGTGTACACATGCACACACACATGTGTATGTATGCCCACATAATGCAAACATGCATCTATACATGTACAGATACCACACAGACATAGGTATGCAATAAAGAAGAATGAATCAAAATCCATGGTACTTTTGGTGAGTTAGAGGACCAGCTTTTACAGACTAGACCACATCTTAGTCTCCTATTTACTGCTATTAATGGAAATGCTGAACTGCAGATTTCTTGAGGTGCTCCTGAAGAGAACTGCCAGTAGACAGCTTTTCTTAACTGCCCAGAAATGTGCCATGACTTTCCAATAGAGTGTCTTCTTGGAAGAGACAACAGGGTGTTGACACTGGGTCTCCTACAGTCTCTGCATTGAAAGGCAGGGTTTAAAAAAAAAACAAAACATATTTACACATAGAAACCAGGTTGTAAGGACACCATGAGTGACAAGAAAGCAATGCTCAGTAGAAAGACATGGAAGCCTCTAAACCTCTCCTTCTTTAGCCTCTTTAGTCAATTTGAGGGTTCCTTTTCATGCTTCAGGATGAGTATATAAGCAGGCTTTCAGTAGAGAGGTTCACAGGACCCAGCCATCTGAAAACACTTCATTAATTTGAAAATAAGAAGCAAAAAGCTATTCCTCCACCAGCACCTCCTTTATCAGACCCTCCTCCCCACTTACATATGACACATGCATTTATATTTCTCTAATGTAGAAACACCTGCACTAAATATGTGTAGCATCATTACATTGCAAGTGTTTAATACATAACCAGTTATTCCTGGGGTATGCAAGAGGTTTAGAAAAATATCTCTAATCAAAGCTCCCAGCACTAGATGATGCAAAACTCAGAATGTTTGGCCTAGAGAGCTCTTGACATGTTTCTTTGGATGTACCAAAGACCCTTCACCAGGCAGCTCGGCAGCACAGAGGTACAGCAGCCCCAACAGGAGCTTTGTTGTCAGTATACTCACACCTCAGGGGCAAGGAGAGGAGACACTGTTTGACTGTGCCATTTAGAACCCAGGGAAGGCCTTACCTGGCTTGGAGGGCCTGAGAGATGAGCACTGAGCCAGGGGAATGAATGGGAAGTGCCTTAGGATTTCTATTGCTATGAAGAGACAACCATGACCACGGCATCTCTTATAAGACATTTAATTGGGAGGCTTACAGTCCAGAGGTTATCATCATGGAGGCACACAGTGGCATGCAGGCAGACATAGTGCTGGAGAAGGAGCTGAGAGTTCTACATCTTGACCTTTAAGCAACAGGAAGTGAACTCTGTCACTGCGTATAGCTTGAGCATATGAGACCTCAAAGCCCACCTCCACAGTGACACACTTCCTCTAACAAGACCATTCCTACTCCACAAAGTCACATCTCCTAATAGTTCCACTCCCTTTGGGGGCCATTTTCTTTCAAACCACCACAGGAAATGATATGTAAAGTGGGGGAAGCTGGATTCTGTTTCAGACTAGGAGGCAGGAGATCCAGGTAGTAGTTGAGGACCAAAGGCTAGACCACATGGCAAACAAGGTTAATAATGGGGAAAATCCATTGGCAAGAGCCCAAAGGAAAAGAGGGCACTGACCTGAGAACCTATTTCTCCTGCCATGGCTCGTTTCCTTATCTATTGTGTAGGTAAGGTATAGGAGTCAAAGACTTTACACTCACCATATAACAGAAGCCTTGTCACACAAGACAAACAGCAAGGACTCTGCTCCCTGACTGATGATTGCATCTTCTAAATGCCTGGCTCAGCAGGTCTTCAACACTGTAATCCACGAAGGAGTCACGGAAACTGGCACTGATGCTGGGTGTGTCCTATGAAGCTGTCACTGAGATTTGTTGGGGTCTCACCAGGGCATTGAGGTCCATGCTGAACAAACATACATATGAAGTGTGAGTGCTATGGGATACTCTGCAGTGTTCTTCCTGATCAAGGTTTTCAGGAACGTAGGACATGAATGGTCAATGATAGCAAGGTACAATAGCCTGGGGCATTCCTTGACTTGGCAGAAGAGTTGCATCCCTAGTGGTAGATTTTGCACCTTCCATGATATAATCATGACTTTGGAACAGATAGCCACATGGATTCAGATCTCAGAGTGTATTTTTCCCTATAATGCTGGGCATTGGACCTGGGGCGTCCACATCTAGGCATGTGCTCTACCACTGAGCTGTAGCTCCAGCTCTCATGTGTGTGTAGGCCCAAGGTTGAAGTCAGTATTTTCCTCAGTTGCTGTCTGCTTTATTTTTGGAGGCAGGATCTCTCACTGAACTGATCTGCCTAGATTGGCTGACCAGCAAGCCCAAGTGCTTTTCTTGTTTCTGCCCTCCCAGCACTGGGGAGTGTATGCAGCCTCAGCCAGCATTTTTATGTGCGTGCTGGGGTATGAAACTTAGGTCCTCATGTTTGCACTTTACTGAGTAAGGCATCTCCGCCTCCCCTTCTCTCACAAGCCCTTTGTAACTTTTAATTTTGAGACAAGAATCTCACTAAATTGCCTGGTCTGGCCTTGAACTTATTCTGTGCCCTACAAGCCTTGAACTCTTAGTCCTCCTGAGTAGCTAGGGCTATAGGCCTGTAGTCTGGCTGGTCTGTAGGAATTCTCAGAGTACCTATGGAAGATGCTTCTGCTCTTTGTTTACTGCTTGGGTGCCACAGCTTGGATATCCACCCTGCTCACATCCCACAACACTTAGGGTTTCTCTGGCTTCAGATAGTCAGGTAACCAGAGGAGCTCTCTCCCCTGCTCCCCAGAACTCCTGACTCCCATCCTCCCCTCCCCTTCCCACCCCATCTCTACCCCTCTTGAGATGCCTGGTTACAATCTACAATTTAGGGAGGCCTTGAGCTATGTACACCAGGCTGGCCTCAAATTTGCAATGATCCTCCTGCCTCAGTCTTCTAACTTCTGGGATTACAGGTCTTAACCTGACACAGGCTTCCTTTGATTTTGTTTTTGATAGGTAATTTTTTAGTAGAATGCTGTCTATTGTGGATACAACTTTCAAGAATTTAAAGCTCTGGATGATTGAATGATTATCATCATCCACTGAATAGAATTTGTTTCTTTTGAAAATTCTATTATTATTATTAGTTTTTATTATTATTGTGGGTGTGGGTAGGCATGAGTGCCACAGTGTGCATGTAGAGGTCAGAAGGACAACATGGGTTTTGGAGATGGAACTCAGGTTGTTAGGTCTGTGTGGCAAGTGCTTTACCCACGGTCTTAGGGTTTTTATTGTTGTAAAGAGACACTATGACCATAGAAACTCTTAAAAGGAAAGCATTTAATTGGGGCTGGCTTACAGTTTTGGAGGTTTAGTCCATTATCATCATGGCGGGAAGCATGGCAACATGCAGGCACACATGGTGCTGGAGAAGAGCTCAGAGTCCTGCATCTGGATCAGCAGGCAGTAGGAGGAGACTGTGTGCCACACTGGGTATAGGTGGAACATATATGAGACCTCAAAAGCTGTCCTCACGGTGATACACTTTGTCCAACAAAGCCATACCTCCTAGAGTGCCAATCTCTATGGGCCAAGCATTCAAATACCTAAGTCTGTGGGGGCCAATCTAATTCACATCACCACATCCACAGAGCCATTTGTCTGTCCTAGAATTTACCACTGTCTCTTGCAAGCAGTCAGAGGGAGTAGGGACAGATCAGCTCAATCCACTGTGGAACTGATGCCAGGTGGTTTACTTTAGGTTACTTTTACTGTGCAGCTGTTCCTTTTCTAACAGAAAGCGAGTTTACCTGTGTCCATTGTGTCACATGCTGGGCTACTGTCACTCAGTCAGTGATGAGGTCTGAACCTGCTGAGTGTTCTGCACTTGCTTGGCTTCTCTGCTATTAGATAGCACTCTTTCTCCTAAGTCCATTTAGAAAACAAATGCCTGCAGGCAAACATTTTATTACCTGTTCACAACTCAATTTACTTTAGGCTACTAAGCTCTTCTTAGTAATTCCCCAATTCTTTGGTGTGTACTTATTTTATTTATTTATTTATTTATTTATTTGAGACACTGTGGGTCTCACTAATTAGTCCTGGCTGTCCTGAAATTCTGTGCATAGGTCAAGCTGGCCTGGAACTCAGAGGTCCATCTGCCTGTTTCCCAACTATTGGGATGAAAGATGTGTGTCACCGTCCCTAGACCAGCTTTTCAAATTGCTCTTAATAAAATATGTTCCAACTCAATTCACCCAGAGTTACAAGATGGACTAAATTATGTTATTTGTAATTTTCCCTATATAATATTGTCTGCAATTTAAAAAAATCAATCCATTTTTCAAAAACAGTTTAGTTTTATATGTAAGAGTGTTTTGCCTGCATGTATGTGCAGTGTGTACATACTTGAAGATGTATGTACACCCAAAGATAGGAGGGGAGTGTCAGATCCCCAGGAACTGGAGTTAGGGACGGTCAACCACCATGTGGGTGCTACAAATTGAACCTGGGTCCTCTCCAAGAGCAAGTGCTCTTAACCTCTGAGTTGACTCTCAGCCCCTGGTATCCATATCTTATTTTCATGCTGAGACTTCTTGTCACAGAGGAAAGTTCAGATACTTTGGTGGGTGTTTTTGGCGACAGGGTAGGAAACTCCAACTCTGCAATTTTCATCCGACAGGATTCTAAGTTATGTCTTTTGCTTCTCCTTTGTGTTCTGTGTTCCACTAGAAGCTACATCTCAAAGATGGTCTCAAGTCACACCTACCCAGTTCATATCATATTTACTTTGAAGCCCCCGCTCTCTAGTTTGTCATCTGCTCTACTTTAACATGTTTTAGATCACATGGTGATCTACATGGGGCCCAGTATCCCAACATAAGCTTTATAATTTGGCAGTGGTAAAAAGTTTCTGAAGATGCCATCACTAAGAATTAATTCAATATCAAATGTATGCTGGGTAGTGGTGGCACATGCCTGTAATCCCAGCACTCAGAAGGAAGAATTAGGCAGATCTCTTGAGTTTGAGGCCATACTGGTCTACAGAGTGAGGCTACACAGAGAACCCTGTCACAAAACTCAACCCAATAAAATGTGGAATGATTCCAAGGTATCAGGGCTATGTTACAAGGTTCAGTGTTTTAGCTGGGTGTGGTAGTGCATGACTTGAATCCCAGAACTCCAGAGGCAGAGGCAGGTGGATCTTTGTGATTTCCGGGCCAGCCTAGTCTACAAAGCAAGTTCCAGAACAGCTAGGGCTGTTACACAGAGACACAGAGAAACCCTGTCTGGAAAAAAAAAATTGACAGTGCTGTGTCAGTATCACATATTCAGCCAGGATTTAGGTAAAAATAAACAAAAATACTTATCTCATTAGCATGTAAATGTTTTAATCTTTAATAGTGAAATTATGTGTACCAAAGAATTAAAATAAATTCTTGCCAGGCGTTGGTTGTGCACACCTTTAATCCCAGCACTCGGGAGGCAGAGGCAGGTGGATCTTTGAGTTCGAGGCCAGCCTGGTCTACCGAGCGAGTTCCAGGACAGGCTCCAAAACAATACAGATAAACCCTGTCTCGAAAAAACCAAAATAAATAAATAAATAAAATTCTTTATGGTTGATTATCACTGGATACTTGATTTTGTATGGGTACTCTTTATTCTCATACACACAGGATTGTGTAAAAATTTTGTGCTCCAAGTGGACATGGTCAACAGCCCTATTAGACCCCCTTCAGACTGAAACAAGCTTGTCTTTCTGGCAGTGATTCTAGATCAACACTGGAGTGACACATCCATTTGCTGACATCCCTCTGTCTTCCTTGCAGTTTGCTTCCCAGCCAGCTGGTGGGACTGAGGGTGGGGAGGGTAGAGGGTATTAGCAAGTACACTCTGTGATGTTATTTCTCTCCTGAATTCTCTACTTTCAAATCATATATATATTTATTGTTGTTTGTTTTTCGAGACAGGGTTTCTCTGTGTAGCTTTGGAGCCTATCCTGGCAATTGCTCTGGAGACCAGGCTAGCCTCGAACTCATAGATCCCCCTGCCTCTGCCTCCGGAGTGCTGGGATTAAAGGCATGTGCCACCAACGCCCGGCCCAACTTATATATTTTAAAGATGCTTTGACTTCAAAATTTAAGTCTAAGGACAGGCTGCTTGGAAAAAAAGTTTCTACTTATGTTTCCACAGAAAATGAAAAGCTATGGATTCCTTCCAGACTAATATGGTTTGATGAAGCAAGACACCCTGAAACAGTGTCCCAACTGATCCTACATCTAAAACAGCTGAGACGATGCAGCCTTGCAGACTACAAAAACAAGGACCTGGCCAGATTTCTGTGTTTTTTTCATGATCCCTATGGTATGGACATCGACCCCCAACCAGCAGGAAGCAGTTTGGAATGAATGACGCCCAAATTACCAAATATTGTTTATAAATGTTTGTTTTCATATAAATGGGTTTGACTATAAATGACAATGAAAACCCTTCTTTTTATTTAGACAGAAAAGAGGAGATGATGGGGAAGGTCCTTCTGTGTATATGTTTGTCTTACTGGTTGATAAAGTACTGTTGACCAATAGGAAAGCAAGATAGGTGGGACTGGGAGTTGAGGATTCTGGGAAATGTAGTAAAGAAGTCTTGTGATCCAGGCAGGAAGTGACATAGCAGGCAGACTCAGAATATAAGCAGGGACAAGAAGGAAATCATCCTCTTGCTCTTCCTCTTCCTCCTGCTGTCTGCTCTGGAGCCACCATGTGATCCCAGCAAGACAGGATGCATTCCGACGGTGTCCTCCATAAAATAAGTCTTATGATTATGGTTGATAATTAAGACTGAGCTAGCAGATAAGAAATCCTAGTCATTTGGCCAAAATCATTGTACCTAATATAAGTCTCTGTGTATTATATGGGGCCCTAACATGGTAGGCAGAACTTGGGCGGAACTTGGGCGGCTGGCAGAAAGTGCCCACATAGCGGCAGGGCTTGGGTGACTTGGAGTAAATACTTATCATTACAGAATATCATTACATTCATATCCTATTTGAATATGTTTTTTGCTAAAGTTGAGGTGTCCATCTACCCTCACACCCACCTTTGGAGATAAGGAGTCTAACTATATAAACCAGGTTGGCCTTCCTCTGCTTCCTGAGTGCTAGGATTAAAGGCATGCACTATGCCCAGCTATACTATCACTTTTAATTACCATGCTGCCTTCAATCTAATCATGAAACTCATACCCTTTTGTCTTCAGTCTTCTTCCAGGAGAGACTCAAAACTGTACTATACTCTTAACACCTCTTAATTCCACTCTACTCCACTGAGGTCAGCCTGTCATTTTTACTCATCTTATTCACATCTGTCTACACAGTAACAGGGAATCAAATTCCATTTGGCCCTAGTCAAAATTACTAAAGAAGTGGCATGCTTGCTTAGACCTATTACTGGTTAATGTAGGTGGAAACTGTAACATTAAATGTCATGCTTTATCAGATTCCATTGCTTTTTAAGTTTTGGGTCTCTAATGGCATAGTAATTTAACATTTATAGTAAGTAATAGGGAATCAGTAATAGAGTTGGATTTTAAATGCAAGTGAGAATGAAACATGCAGACCTGCATGCTGGCCATTTATTAATAATTGACAAGCAAATGAGCAGTGACCACTGTATTCACAGTGCTGGTAACAGCTCCGAGACATCTGAAAACTGAACACAATCAGTAGATTGTGTTTACCAACCAAAAGACTTCTGGATTCAGGCATGAAAAAAAAAATGGTAAGATTCGGGACAGGATTTCAGTTAAACAAACTTTTAACAAAGAAGTATAAATACAACCCAATCTCAACTAAAAACAGTACAAAACGTCTGGAAAATCAAAACAAAGTTCCAGCAAGTTTTTCTATCTAAATATGCCTTCTAATTGAAATGGTGACCTCTAAAAGATCTTTGTTCATATTACTGAAAAACTACTTTCAAATGGATCAGGAAACAGTAGATGAAAGAAAATGACACTGGTTACTCCAAGTATTCAGTTTTGAGCCAAATATCATGCTAACTCCCTCATCAGCCCACACTGTCATTCTATTGAAGACTGTTCCTTAATAGACATGAAACTGAGACTCTGAGCCTGTTCTGAGAGTCCTACAATTCAAGGTCACATTGCAAATGACATCCATTACCAACTGGGTCAGGCTGAACCTCTCAATACTTCCTCAGGAGACTTACCGAGAGATGCTAAACGCTACTAAAGTACAGTTTATTTTAATTTCTGTTCCTCTAATCTGGGCTATGAGTTGCCTGTCAACACAGTCCATGTTTTACCAACCTATTAGAACAGAAATATTGAAGAAACTTGTTAAATAATAAGGGGACAGTGATTTCTCTTCACTGCATCTGACATGCCAGGACATGTTATTCTAACTGGTCTTCACCTGGAACAGCGACCATAATTTTAACAAACAAGTTTTACATGGGTCTGTAAACGTCTGGCGCTTTCCTTATCTGAAAGACAGCACACAGAATGGTTGTGAAGTGGGTGCAATGTTAAAACCTGGGTTGTCATTGTGTGTGGTGCCTGTGGAGTGGCCAAATGTGTCATTCTAGACAAGCTACACAAATGTGGCTGCTATGTGATATCATCACTTTTGAAACAAAACCTCTGTCAATTCATATAGACAGGAACATTTTATAGGTGACTCCCTATATTCTGACTTTGGTACTATTTTCTTCTTAAGTTAGGTAGAAGGACTTAAAACTTTCAAAATTAGAGCAGTAACTTTCTTTGGTCTATTGTTTTTGAATAAAAATGAGACAACACACAAAGAAAGACAAACATCATAAAATAACTTTTATACAGGATTAGTAGATCTGTTTACATATAAAAACAAAGGACCTCATTATAGTTAGATTTCACATAAATTACACAGATTAACTTTTAAAACTACTATTCTTTTAAAGTCCCTTTTAAAATTTTCATTTTGAAGGCACAGTGCATGAACTAAAACAAAAGACTGAGCACTTAAGATGAATGAGTATTAGGCATGTCACAGAAATAGCTATGGACAGTTTTGGAGCTGGGGAGTTATCATTCTGAAAAAAAGCAGAGTGGTGAAAATAACATAAAAAAATTCCATGTCATACCTCCAAAAAATCTGCAGCACAGAACGTAGCTAGTACATTCATGTTATGCCATTTATAAACATTGTATTTGTCTATATTTACATAATTTTTGTCCAATTGCCTCAAAATGGTAACCTACTTTCAAATTTCAAAATCAACTAGGAGAGATTTCTGAGAGTCAGTGGAACCATTAATGAATTTTTTTTTCTAAATTAAAGGAGAAGTGGGTGTTGGGAGGGTTTTCTTCAAGAACTAGAAATCCAAATTCAATTGACATTAATCAAACATCCTAATCACCCTCCCCCCAAAACTGCTAAAATTAAAACAAACCAGAAACCTAAAGTTATTAACAAGTTGCTATATAGAAAGATCAATGAATATTTAACCATTAGTGGAATTTTCGTAATAATAAAGGAAAAAATTGGGGGAAATGCTGGGCTGCTACTGTAAAACAATCCCACCAGAGACCTACACAGAAGGACACCATGACATATTCATAGCCAAGAAACTTCTAAGAGAGCAGGGACAAAACCTGACACAAGTGTGAGTACAACAAGACAACAGAACTATTTAGTGCTGAGAATGAGTGGAAATGAACGGAGGAGCAAGTCTTGGTTACTGGTAACCTGGTGCTCGCTGAAAAACACAGCCAGTTCAGACATAAGCACTACCTTTTTATTTTTCCACTCATAATTGGTTTTAAATTTAATATTCACTAATTCAGCAAATCTCATTCAGATGAAATCACCAAGATCAACCAAGCACACTGAACCAAAAATACAATGTATCCTTCCTCGAGACTGACAAGAGTCCCAAAGCCAGTTCCCTTCAGTGAGGATGGCAAGTGCTCTTCACTGGATAGATCCCATCACCACCCAGAGTTCCACCAGATACAACAAAAGCTTGCCAATCTTTACTAGTACAAGCGCATCCTCACAGGCAGACACTTTAAACATTACCTACCACTCATGTTCTTTTATTAAGGAGCAGGGAGGGAAGAAGGCTTGTAAGCTCATCACCAGGACAAAACAATGCCTTGTGAGCAAAGGGAAGGCACATCTCAGACTGGGGCAAATGTCCTAACACTGTGACACTAAGTTGGGTCCATGACTCTAGAGAAATGGAAAGTCTCCAGGAGAAACACTGAAGAAATGCATTCCCCATCCCATATGGCTTCATTGCCCTCTGCTGCCAAAGTGGTCCAAGATTAGATTAGATCCACGCATAAAAGAAGGCAGGGGTAAGAACACAGTCTTAGCAGTCATGGATCCCATACATTCATGTTCATAGGTAACAGAGGGTGGGGAGGGCTGGTTTCCAGCTTAATGCATTAGAAGTTCATTACAGACTTAGAATTTGGGTTTCATTTCAGAAAACAAAACGACTAAGAGAACTATTCTGTATATTTATCTCTAAAACTTTCACACATCCTTTAAAAGGCATGGCCTCTGACTGCTGAGATGTACTGTTAAAGACACTTAATTCCGGAGAACAAGTGGAAAGGAGTCCTTCAGTGAACACCAATGCTAGTAAAGCAAAGGCTGTCACATGAACTTGGTTTCCAGCTGTAATGTCCCAAGCAGGGCCCAGCCATAAGCCCCTTGTTGGTTTTCTGACTTGGCACTTTTAAAAATAAAGCTGAAAAAGAGCAATACACATCATTTAGAAAAACACAAAGTGTTATTGGAAGAAATGAAACCATGTGCCCGTCATTAGTATTAACTTCCACGAACTATTCTGTCCCTGTGGCAAAACAGGGATTCAGACCTGGTAATGCCAGCGCTGATTCCAGAGTGGCCGAACCTAAGCCACCTAACTGACCACAGCTAACAAATGTCATGATCTCATTACTCCTTTCTACTAACCAGGATCTCCATTTCGTACAGCCACTCGGTGGTGCATTCCTCACAAAGAGTGGCTGAGCGACCTAGGTGAGCTGAGGCTTTGGGGTAACTGATAAATTAATGGTATCAATACAGTTTGGAAAGGTAAGAGCTAGTTTTTTGATCCCCTGATTTAGTACAAGTTCAGCAGCAACTTGGCCATTAAAACATTCAAAGATATTAAACTGTTACGTCATTGGTAAGACTCACTTACAAAAAGATCATTCCACTGAACAGCATTAAGAGACACAATAAAATGCAAATCTTTCAGGTCTTTGCCTGACTGGCAGTGAAGAGGACACCTTCACACCACTGTCCCATCACACGGCAGTCCTTCAGTTGACTTTTTTTAAATGGAGGGAGCCATATTTAAAAGCTTTGAACTGAAAATTTTAACATAATTGCTTGATTTAGAAAAAAAAAAAAGGACCGTCAAAGGAATCAGGACTTGTGGAGGCCTGTATGCACATAGCCACAGTATTTTCATCACAGGGTGAAGGCTTGGGCTGGAGCATCAAGTGTAGACATTATGGATCCAAATGTATTAAGAATGTACAAGTAGGTCTCTTCCACTCCTAGATATTTTCATCAGTAGAATTCAGGACCTTTAGGTGTGGGATCATCTGGGAACCGTAGGCGTACAACACGGAAGGGGCTGAGATTTAGGAAACATTAAGGAACAGGATTCCTAGAAGAAGGGGTGCTTCACAGATAAAGCAGCAGCACCTGTGGGTTTTCCCGAGTTAAGACAGGCACGTCCTCATTTCTGCTCTATCTCCCTCTCACTTCTACTCACAGGACCCCTGGCGCCTCCATAGCAAAGCCAGTGAGTTCCCCTTAAGATGAGGGTATTGAGAGCTTTGATAACCCTACAAGAGAGGTAGTAAAACCCTGCTACAGCACAGCCCACCAGTTCTGATCCAGCTTGGAAACAGGTAGAAAGACAAATACGGAAGCCCGCTTATTCCGTTTCCTAATGTCATATATGTTTAAGAATCATCCAGCCTCCATTACCTGAATAAGAGAAACCCCAGCTATTTGCTAACTGGAGAAGAGAACTCAGTAGATGGAGAAAAATCTCAAGTTTTTAAAGCTTTATGTCAGAGTCTGACTGGTGTCCCTGCCTTAATGTTTCTGGATTCTTTTGGCCTTTAAAGTAAAGAGAAACAAAAACGAAAGCCACCTGATGTGCAAAATACAACATCTACTAGATGGCTTTATGCTGTCACTACATAAGCTCTGAACAGCTCATCTTAAATTAGAAAGGAAAATAAAGTGGCTGTCCCATCTTCTGCTGCATAAATAGAAATCAGATTTTTAGAAAAGGATAAGAGTACTTTAAGGGAGGGAAGTTCAGAACTGCCTATGGTATTCAGAGAATATGCACTTAGCAGGTTCACTTCCCAAAGCTCTTTGAGGAAGGAAGGAATCCCTCTTCTTACTGCAGTGTCTCCCAAGAGGAGCTGTCATTTTACTTGGTGTTTATGCAGGGACATATGCAAAACATGGTTTTCAATGTTTGCTAGAATATAACGTTTCCTCCTCTGTGTCTGTTTCATCCTGGAACTCATGGCTTAGGAGGGACTTCTTGGAGCCAGTAGACATCATTCGGATTTCATCTTCATACTCATCATGGTGCTGTCGCAGCCGATGGAAGCCATCTTTGTGTCTGTTAGACTTGATGGAGCAGATGCACCAAATGATGCAAGCCGTTAGGATCAATGCTGACATTGTGGCACCTGTCCGGCAAGACCACATGGGAGTGTTATGAACAAGCAACTACCTCTTTTAATAATCTATCATTTACTTTAATTTCACGCAATTAAGAGCAATTTGCTTGGTCTAGAGATGTTCTTCTGTGGTAAATGCTTGCCTGGCAGGCAGGAAGCCTGGGCTTCAATCTCTGGTATCTCAACAAAAACCAGCCCTGTTATCCCAGAAGCAGCACACATATAGTATGCAAGCTGGAAAACAGTAAGTAAACCCAGCAAGAATCAAAGCCCAACACTGTGACATTTCTACTGCCTGAAGAGAATTTTTAATTGCTTTAGTGTTATTTTCCCAGATCTTCTTTCTTTCTTTTTTCCTGTGCTAGGAACTGATTCTAGGGCAAGCTCTCTACCACTGAGCTGCACTCTCAGCTCCCCAGATCATTTTTTTTCTTTTTTTTTAACTTAAAAATAGTTAAATTACAGTTTATTTACATTGTGTGTGCGCACATGTGGCAACCATGCATATGGGGGTCAGAGGACAACTTTTAAGCACTGGTTCTCTCTACTGTGCACAGGCTTCAGGGACTGAACTCAGGTCATCATCAGGCTTGTGCAGCAAGAGCTTCTACCCACTAAGCCATCTCAATGGCATTCATTTACTTATTTAGACTGGGTCTCACTGCATCTCAGTTGGAGACTCACTATGTAGTCCTGACTGATCTCTAACTTGCAGTGATCCTTCTGCCTTAAACTCTCTTTTATTTTTAAACTTGTATACAAGGTTACCAAAACAACAGCTTAGCAATAACAACAGAAAATAATAGTCATGAAATAAAAATTGTGTTTACAATAGCTAATGGCTGGCAAAGCTAGATTTGACCCACCACTGAATCTGGCTCCTGTGCCTTTAACCAAGTTCTTTGCAATTTTCCAGGTTCAAATGAGAATACTAAGAACCCCACAAGAGGTCCTGTGACCACACTATGTTCCCAACATTCACCCCAGACCTCCACCTCTGCAACAGGACTTGGGTTTTTGCATTAAGTCCAAGTTGAACTGAGAAGTGAATGAAAGATCATTGTGTTAAACAGATGCAGCACAGTGGAAAATTTCTTTTTCCAACTATTTCCCCCTTAACCTTTCAGTAATTCAAACATGGCACAAATTAACCCAGGGGAGAAAATGTTTCCTCTTTCCTGGACCTTAAAAAACCAAAATGTAACTTCTAGCAGCCAGTGTGATCTTGATATAGAGCAACATTTGCTTGTTTACCAATATCCAGTAAGATCCACTTGTGTTAACTATGGTGGTAGGGTATGGGATGCAGATCAACTCTCTGTTGCCTAGAGCTTTTATTTTGGTGAGGGACGTTAAATGTAGACAATACAGTGGACAGATAAATTTATTATGATAGAAAAAAACCATATGGGCTACTGTGTTAGCTAGAGTAATGAGAAAAGTTGTCTTGGTGGAGGTGAGTTTGAATATGGACTGGCAACCCAGAAAAACATAATAGGACAATAGCTTGGGGAAACCAGGTTTAGATAAGTAGAATCTAGGGAAAAAGCAATTAGCTAGAGGTGTTTGTGGGAGCTAGCCACTCTCAAAGTGTAACAGCAGAACTGGTTTTAACTTCAAGTACTAAAACTGAAAATCGTTCGTTACCTGATACAGTTACCACGAGTTCCCTTGGCAAACCAAATATCCGGTTATCTGTATCAAAGACTATTAGCACAGAACTGGCTGCATCATGATGTACAAAGACCTAGAAGGATAAAGTGTAAGAATCATAAAGAAGTCACTGTGGGGCCTGGAGAGATGGCTCTGCAGTGAAGAGCACTGGCTGCTCTTCCAGAGGATTTGGATTTGGTTCCTAGCATCCTCCTGGTGGCTCACAACCATCCATAACTCCTGTTCTACAGAATCCAGAGATCCAAACCCTCTTCTGGCTCTGCTGGCCTCCCATGTGCATGGTGCACAGACACATATGCAAGCAAACATCCATACACATCAAATATTAAAATTAAATTTTAAAAAGCCACTATGGGTATACTACAGCCCTGCTTCACTAAACACTTTTGGGTCTATAAAGCAAACTAGGAAGGTAACTGAGTGTCATCTAAACTACACAAAATGCTATTCCAGTTTTTCTTTTGTTGCTGAGAAATAGAAAACTACCTTTTGGCAACAAAAAGATAACAGATGCTATAATCAAGAGATGGGCATACTTTTCATTTCTTTATTCCTTTCAAGCTCTCTAACAAGTTTCAAAATAAGACACAAATATTATTAACAATAAACACTTATATAATCTGACTTGAGTTTCTTACCTGTGAATGCTGCTGCTGGTACCCTTCAGCGATGGCATTGATGTTATGGACACCAGGAGCTAAAAGCACATGGAAATAACCCCCCTCTTTTGTGTGCACTTTTATTCCATCATTAAGTACAATGACTGCTTTAGAGATCGGTTTACCAGTCTTGTCTTTAACTAACCCATGGACTCCTTTGTGGACCTGGAAAAAATGTTGACATAATTTATGTTTTCACAATGTCAGCAGATGTTACAGGCAATAGTTTGAGGCTTGATCAAAATCAACTAATCTCTATCTATCTATCTATCTATCTATCTATCTATCTATCTATCTATCTCTTTCTCTCTCTCTCTCCTTCTACACAAAACAACAACAACACCCTTGTAGTTATAGGCAGGGCACATCCTATAATCCTAGCTACTTAGGAGGCAGATGCAGATGCAGATGCAGATGCAGGAAACAGAGGTCAAGGCCACCCCCATCAAATTAGCAAACCTGCCTTAAAAAAAGTAGGGGTTTGATGGTATATTATAGCTCAGCGGCAGAGTGCTTAACAAGCATACAAAGGGTTCTTCTTGGTACTGCAAAACCCAAACCAAATCAAACATGACTTTGTCAGCCTGGCTTATCCTTCATCCCCACTGACCCTGACCACATTTGCTCACCAGTCAGTACTTCAGAGCCAAAGGTAAGAGAAAGAACTGTGACTCTGAAAGCCTAAAGCATTAGAAGCAGTCTGCAGATGCCTTGAGTTGCTTCCTTCCATTGTACAGTGACTGTAACTGGGTGGCCCTCAGTTGGAAGAACAGGAAGCTCCCAATTATATAGCAGATTAAAGATATGTGCATGCATGGCATCTATTTTGGCAACAAAAAGATGAGCAAAATTCAGGCTGGGGAGATGGCTCGGAGGAGGCGAGTGCTTTCTACTCCAGTGTGAGGAGAGCTGGCATAAATCCCCATAACCCATGTAAAAGACCAGGCGAACATGGCAGTCCACCAGTGATCCAGTGCTCGGGAGGCAGGGACAGAGATGCCTGAGGCAAGCTGGCTAGCTAGACTAGCTAGATTACAGAGCTCTGGGTACAGCGAGATACCCTGTCTCAGTAGATACGGTGGAAAGTGAGCTCATCCTGTGACTTCCACATGCCCATGTACACATGAGTATGACAGCCCACGTATTAACAGCATGCACACACATACCCCACCACCACACACACACACTTCCACACACAAAAGAACAAAATGTTTCAATATACATTGAAAAATGTCTTAATAAAGGTTTTCATTGAATATACTCCTCTGATGAAGCCTAGCATGTATGTATGAGGCTTTGGGTTTGACTCCCAGTATCAGAGGGAAACAAACAACTCAAAACAAGCTCACCTCTACCAACATGCTAAGGAGAGACCTCTTGTTCTCTGCCCACAAGGCAGGGAGTTGAGCTGCACTAGGGAAGTAGCAACAGCTTGTATACACAGTGATTTCTGGGCAATGGCCATAGGTAACACTATAATCCTGAAATGCAAAGTTCAGAATCAAATTAATACATGTAAAAATTAACTTTGTAAGAAAATGAAATAAGAAGTGGGTGATGTAAGCAGCATTTGAGGTATATTTTACAACAAATATAAATAAATCACCATGTACAACAATGGGTCACATACAGGACAGTGACTCTGCCTACTTCATTCTAATGTGGCAGTGCTTCCCACAGACCCTGTTATTGGGGTTTGCTGAATGAATGAGTCCACATGGAGAGCCGCCTTGCCTCTCAACTTTAGAACTCCACTGTTGCTCCCACAGCACTGGAGGTGGAGGACAAGCCTGATCCCTTCAGTCTGAGCCTGCTGTGGCAATGGCCATGGCCACAGCAGAGTACTTAGTCAAGTGCAGGAACCACTTGTGCAGACAGATTTAAACGTTACTTGCCATCACCCTCCCTCAACTGTTCCTTTTTACATTTACCTAATGATATTAACTAACTTTCTAACAGTCATGAAATTTCATCTTTTTGTTGTAACATTTTTCTTATTGACTATAATGTAGTTATATCATTTATCCCTTCTCTTTTCTCCTTCCAAACCCTTCCATATACCCGTCCCTGCTCTCTTTCAAGTCCGAGACCTCTTTTCTCATTGATTGCTGTTACATATATTATGTATATGCATATATGTCTAAATATAACCTGTTCAGTCTATATAATGTTACTAATATGTTGTGTTTCCAGAGACAACTATTTGGGATTATAAATAATTGGTGTGGTATTAGATAACCAATAGGTGTGGTATTAGATAACCAATTGGTGTGCTGTTTCTTGGGGAAAATTGAATCTTCCATTCTAAGCATTCCTCAGTTGCTTATAGTTTAGCTTTTTTGGTTTTGTTTTTCGAAATAGGGTTTCTTTGTGTAACAGCCTTGGCTGTCCTGGAACTCACTCTGTAGACCAGGCTGGCCTCAAACTCACAGACATCACCTGCCTCTGCCTCCCTCCCAGGTGCTGGAATTAAAGGTGTGTACCACCACCACCCAGTGTGGTGTTTGTAGTTCTTAACCACTAAGTCATCTCTCCAGCCCCCAACTAAATTTTTTAACTTAACTTTGTGTGTGCATCATGGTACATGTGTGGAGGTCAGGGGACAAGCTGGTTCTTGCTTTCCACTATGGACATTCTGGGAACTGAACTCAGATAGTCAATCTTGGCAGAAAGCACCTGTATCTCTTTGCTAGCCCAAACCTTATTATAAATCTGACAGAAGATATGGATACTTCTCCAAAGAAGTCATACAAATGGCCAACAAGCCCAAGGTAGTCCAATATCATTTGCCATCAGTGAAACAAAAGTCAAAACTACAATGAGATGATGTTACGTCTGGTAGGATAGGCAAGTTAAAGTAACAAGCGTTGCTCAGGATATAGAGAAGATGAAGATGGAATCCTTGAACACAGTTGATAGGATCTAAGATGACAGAGATGCTATGGAAAAGCTTGGTGGTTCTTCAGAACATTACAAATGGAATAAAAACAATATCTAGCAATGCCATTCCTAGCTCTTTACTTAAACAAAGTGAAAAGCCCGGCTCAAAGACACTGTATGCCCATGTCTATCAACACATAAATTGATGAGCAAAATATGCTACTTATAACAGAATAATATTTTGTTCTAAAAATTATGTTAATATAAGAAGTTAGATACAAAAGGATTACCATACAAAGTCCTTTTATGAGAAATTTAGAATGGAAAATTCCTGAACACAGAAGTGGAGGTTACCAGGGGCTGTGGACAGGGAGAATAGGGAGTCACTGTTTAGTTTGAAGTAATAAAAAAAAAAATGGAAGTTGACTTGGTAGTGGTTGTACAAGACTAAGTATAGTTAATGTTATTAAATTACACAGTTAGGAATGTTTAAAGTAGAAGATCACTGTCAGATTAATTGAAGGCCTAAGCTTGTTGAGAAACTCACAAGGCAGATGCCAATCACATCCCTGTCTTAGAAAAGTACTTGCTTTTTCACTTAAAGACCATCATTCTGAAACCCATTCTAACATTGTTCTCTGAAACATACCTTCATGCTGCCCAGATGACTGTGCCATTCTGCTCCACGCATTACTCCTCCTGGAATGTTCTCATCTATAAAACCATTGGGAGATGTATGACCAACAAGCCCAAAAGGCTCTCTTCTCCCAAAAGCAATCAACCAAAATGAGTAGCACAGGATAGGGGAAATGCCTACCTGACTTATTTGGGCAACTGGGCTGACCCATGTGCATCGATGGATGGTTATTTGCATAAAGAGATGCCAAATGCTTTAAAGTTTCTTTATTTTCCACTACCAAGAAGAAGAATTTGAAAGTCAGTGGAGAAATTGAAAAGATTTTTGCTCAAGTTCAGTTTCGTGGATTCGAGTCTTCTTCCTCTCCTTCTAGTAAGTTCTGCACCCCACTGAAGTTTACTGAGGAGTTTACCATAAATAACAGCATTGTTTTGTTTAGTCCAAGATAATCATACTTAGGAGCAAACATCTTCCTTACATTAAAGAAATACTAAAAGTGAATTTATACAATGGGTACTATATTAAGATACAATCTTCTTTCAGTTTACTGTATCTCAGTTATGGACAACTGGGGCCTAAAAACAATATCCGTTGTAACTGCATCAAAAATAACTCAAACTAGCCGGGCAGTGGTGGTGCACACCTTTAATTCCAGCACCCAGGAGGCAGAGACAGGCAGATCTCTGTGAGTTTGAGGCCAGCCTGGTCTACATAGAGTTAGTTCCAGGACAGCCGGGGCAACAAAGAGAAACCCTGTCTTGAAAACAAACAAACGAAGAAACAAACAAAAAAATGAAAAAGAAACTAAGTCTGCATATACTATGATCTGGGAGAGATTCAACAAGCAACTGTTTAGCTTACCACAAGGAACAACCCACTAGTCAAGGTGTCAAGCATGGGAGGGAGGCTTAGACTGTTACCATGAGCATTTGGCCATACTCCTTTTGGTATTCTCAAATTCTATGAACACCAATTCCTCAAAACCTGACTGTAGACCACACTGGACAGATATGACGAGATGCTGCAACTCATACAGCTTGGCCTTCCTCAGGCCTTCCCTCTCCAACCTGCCCCAACGCTTCCAGTACAGGATGGACAATTGTCTAGGGTGATTGTTTGAGCAGACAGCAATTCAAATGCTCACTACTGAAAAAACATTTAGAAGGGATGTTACTTAGTGGCTTAAATACTACATGTGTGGCCTGATACTCGGCATACCTGTCTGGACTGGCTTGTCATAGGGATATGTGACCAGTACAGAACCACCGTCTAAAGCAATAGAAAGGCTGAAATCCTGTTTTTGAATCAAGTTTTCAATGATGGCTTTGGTCTCAGGTTGGGAAGCATTACCTAAAAAAGAGAAAAGTTGAATATCAAGTTCTAAATTTTAGTGAAAGCATAAAGAAATACTCTATTTGAATTCCATTATAACTTTGGCTTACAAAACTTTTGAGTAATTGTCTCTCCATGTGCTTCCTCAAGCAAAAAAGACAAGTTCTTACAGGGAGGTTATTCTGAGTTGTGCATAGTTTGAGAGAATGTGTGCACATTAGTAACATCATATATAACAACATACAAATATCCTATGTACATACACATATTCAGAAGGGTAGAGAGAAAGAGTGCCTTTGCTACCTCTATATACATTGCAATACTCCAATGATCCTGACTACGTTTCTTCAAAAAAAATAAATAAATAAAACACAAAACTTCAATTACTTTTTCAAAGTGAAAGAAAAAAAAGTTCAAAATATTTTCTGGATGTCTGTATTGATTTATACTTCTCACTCATAACCTAGACCCCATTCTTCATCTATAAAATGGAGCTGACCAATCTCCTAGTACAGAAAGAGTTATCCCCAAAGTACTTTAATGGCCTAAAATTTAGTCCTACTTGTGAAGTCTGTGTCCAGGTCTTTGCCACGGGCATTTGTTTGCCCAATCTTTGAGGTACACTCTTTCTCTTGTGCTCGTTCTCGTCCATCCGGATTTAGAGAAGGTACGATCACAATTCTAGTCCTGTCAACCAACTAAAATGGAAAAGAAATCAAGAGTTCATTAGCTCTATGTGGAATTGACAGGTCCTTCCCCTCTCAAACAGTTTTTATTGTTCACTTTAAATAGTTATTTTAAAAGGCAGAACACGAAAAGAAACTAAAATGTAAAATAGAATTCTCATGAGCTTCAGACAATTTTTTTAAAAAAATGAGACAACACTGTATAATGTTCCTCATGACCTCTTGGTGACAAATAGGTTGTCATAGAAGCATGCTTAGCAGGCAAAATCCAGTTTGTTGGCTACTTTTCTGTATAAGTTTTTACTGGAATAATCAAGCCTGTTCATTTTTGGTTAATTATTTTTGTGTGTTATAATGATGGATCTGAGTAGCTACAGGATGTCTGCTCCTGCAAAGTATAAATACATACTTATATACCATCTGGCCCTCATAGAAAATAATTGCTTATTACTGACTTAATAATAATGGTGGAACTCTTTTCTGGGAATGTAAAATCTGAAAATACCAATGCCCTTTCAGACAAGGAGAGTTGAAAACAACATGTTCAAAAACCCCAGGTAGGTTACCTGCCTTGTGATAGATAATTTGTCCTCCAGATGCTCCATCGGCAGTAATACCTACCTGCACATGTGACAAGTAATTTCTGAGGTGCCTCACCCTACATCTTCACTGTCATTTTGACTAGATTTAGACTCAGCTCAGGAACATACCTCTGGACACGCCTGTGGGGTTGTTTCTAGAAAAGTTTAGCTGAGGACCCACCCTTGTATGGCACCATCCCACAGATCTTAGGTAGAATAAAAAGGAGGAAATAAGCAGACTGCTTCATGTCTGTGCTTCCTGACTTTGGACCCACTGTGACCGGCCACCTCCTGCTCCTGAACACTATCGGCCTTCACCAACACAGTGGGCTCTTATCCCCTCATAGCAAGAGGCATAATAAACCCTCTCTTCCTGGAAATACACAAGACCCTTTAACTCACCGGCTTTTAAACCTCTGTCTTTGGGAGATTCATTCTAAGATAATTTATGCTTCACCAGAGACCTATTCAGCACAATCTCTGGATCCTATCATCTCATCTCTCTTTTGGCAGGGTCTTCTGTATCCCAGACTAGCTTCAAAAGCTTTGTGATTCCTGCTAAAGGATTTTACCTGTGATATGGTCTTTTATTATCATAAGACTAGCAGGTACAAGTTTAGCTATATATAAGAACAACCTGGCCTGGGGTATAACTCAGTGGTAGAGCATGTGCCTAACATGTACAAGGTCCTCAGCTTTGTTTATAGTGTATAGTGTACATGCCTAAACCCCAGAGCATCAGAAACAGAGGTGGGAATAGTAGGAGTTTGAAGCCAACTTGGGCTATATAGCAAGTTCAAAGCCAACCTTGACTATATAGTAAAACTGTCTCAAACAAATAAACAAACAGCCTGAAGCCGTGACAGTTTTGTGTGTGTGTTTGTTGGGGGGGCGGTGAGGGAAGCCTAAAGAGATATAAAAGATATATTGATGCCTTCCAGGGATGAAGTACAAGCACTGGTGTTTCTAAAGGCTCTGAGGTATTTCTAATATGCAACCAGGGGGTTCACTATCTTATACTATCTCATCTTAAGGGGGAAAAAAAAC